TTTTTCGTCACTTCACGTAAAACGGGTGAAACTCCAATATAAAATTAATTTATATACTTATTATAGTGAAAAGTACAAAATAACAATAACAAAATTTTCTTTATATTTCAAAATTTCTCCCAAAATACTCATACTAAGCGAACCAGGACAGAGACTAACTGCAAAAAATGATAACGCAGTAACTGCCTCCTTACCGGAGCCTCTGGCCTCCCACACAGCCTCGCAACGAGTGGCCCGGCCTCATCCGTGTACTCCCCCTGAGCCGCCCTATCACTACACGTGACAACACCAAGGAGAATTTCGGTCACAGGATGGTGATGAATAGCTGGACCTAAGGTAGAGCGTTATAAAACAACAATAGAGTTTCACCCGTTTTACATAAAGTGGCGTAAAACTCGGTGAAAAACGCGATATTCGCGGTGATATGCATTAGTCGTGAAATATGTTTTTTTACATCACTAGGGGGAAACTCCTCAGAATGGTTGGAGAAATATATATGTTTGTTTTCCTCAGCTGCGCTCTGAAATTGAGCTAGAAGTATACAGAAACCAATGGAAACTCCCAAAATTTCCTCATAATTTTCATATTGTCATCACCAACACATGTAGTTGACCATGTGCATACCCCCCCCCCCCCACAAGCTCTACAGAAACTCCTATACTACAACGTCTCGATAATACTATTAGAAGGCTACCATTATATATTTCCCAGAGCCCCCCTTACTACTACCAGTTGCGTGCCCGCATGCCGTCCTAGCCTTCTCTTCGTGGACCTCAGCGAACTTAATCTTGGCTTCCTCAGAAGCGGGAGTTTGATAACGCGCTTTCCACTGCGAATACGACATACCTGAAAATGAATACCAACACACAAGAATTTCATAATAAATTTTTCACGAATTTTCAGAAACATGTTCATTCGGGGGTGAGAAAAAATAAGTGCACCAGCCAGTTTCAATCGCCACCTCGTCAGTGCTAACAACTAAAGATTGTTTGAAAAAAAGAGCCTACTACAAGGGGCGTAAAACTCTGTGAATAACGCGATTTTCGCGGTGATATGCAGTAGTCGTGAAATATATTTTTCATATCACTAGGGCGAAACTCCAACAATAACCTCCCGAATGATGAATCTTTTTTGCCCGCATTTACCAAAATCTCTTATTTTCCCGCTAGTAATTTTGCTCCAGCAGGACGCCCCCCCTACTACTACCATATATGCGTTCCTTAGCCGCATCTACGTCTACTCCTCGACCCTCAGCGTACCACTTGGAGAGGCAGTTGCGACAAAACCCCGCCAAATTCATAAGATCGATATTCTGCACATCTGTCCTTGTCTGCAGCCAACTCACGAGCCTCCGAAAAGCAAAGGCTTCAGCTTTAACATCATCGTCAACTTCGTCCTCTCCCCCATTACCGAGTTCAGCTCTACCAGTTAGCACACACGGCACCCGCGCCCCCTTATGAACGAGTTCACCACCAGCGGGCAGTTTAACCAAAGCGTTCACTCCCACGCAGCTCAGCAGTCTGCTACTACGTTGCGTGTCTCCACCTGTAATACCACTAGCGACAATCTGACCGCTCGGGGTGACACTTGCGGTGACACGCACGTACTCGGGGCGCACTGGATCCGTCTGTTGCATATTTTCTGCCAAAGTCGCGTAAAATTGTTGAAAATTTTCCATTTTTCCATCAGCAGTTAACAGCGCTCTCAAGAAAGGCTCAACGAAAACGAAGAAAGTGACATAAGCGCTCGCGGGGTTGCCAGGAAGACCAAAAAAAGGCGTTCCACGTAGTGTAGCAAAAGTAGTAGGCTTTCCCGGTTTCAAACAAACTTCGCCGAAATGCACTTTCCCATCTTTTTCGAGAATTTTCTTGATGTAGTCTTTCGAACCTTTACTCACCGCCCCAGTAGTAATAACCACATCGTTCGTCGCTGCCACTTCTAAAAGCACTTTTCTAATAATATTATAATCATCTTCTAGTGGGGGTAATCGATTCACTTCTACTGCGTTGCCAAAGCGCTCACATAGTAGACCCTGCAGCATCGGACCATTCGTGTCTGGTACCTCTTTTTTGACGAGTTCATCTCCACTAGAAACGATAGCAATTTTCACTACAGGTAGCAGTTCAACTGTCGGCGACACGCCCTCGAGTGCAGCGAGCAAAGCCGGCGTTAAAACCGTTCCTCTGCGTGCAATGAGTTCGTCCTTTTTAATATCAGAACCAACACTCCGCAAATTTAGACCAGCAACAACGCCGGTGACAGGGACTCTCACGGTGTCACCACTCACATCACAATCTTCTATTTTCACCACTGCTAAATCGGCATTTTCTACCAACGTCCCGGTAGTTACATAAGTGGCGTCGCAGTGCTCAGCTACAGTAGCCACGCCATGTCCAGCTGTGATATTCGATATAATTCGGAGCTCTCTATAAGGGATTCCACTGAAGAGGAAAAATCAGAAAAAAAGAAATTTCCGTAATTTTCAGTAAAGCGCATTACCTCATCTTCTTAACACTCGTATGCGTTTCTCCAACTGGTCGTACCAAAAATCCATCCATAATGGAAGTCGGCAATTTCGGGAAAGGTCCTCGAGCGTATACATCAGCCGCTAATACGCGTCCGAGCTCTTCAGGCACCCTCAAGCGGTACAGTGTGGAGGATGCATTTCGTGTCTGGAAACGTAGTTGATACTTGGGCAAAAGGTCATCGATTTTTCGCAAGCATTCTTCTAGTGATAGCATTGGGTACTCCTTAGGGGGTACTATCGTATCGAGCGGAGGCGATATAGGGTTGGACATGAGTCGGCAGAGATAGGCTTAAAATTAGGAAGTTGTGTTCGATCAAAGTAGTATACAATGGAGTTTCACCACCCTAGTGATGTGAAAAACATATTTCACGACTACTGCATATCAAAAATATCGCATGTTTTTCATCAAGTGTAACGCTACTTCACGTAAAACGGGTGAACCTCCATTATAGTGATATTAGATAAACTAGTATATATTTATAATAATATGAGGGAGTTTCACCCTAGTGATATGAAGAACACTAGTGAAAAATATATTTCACGACTACTGCATATCACCGCGAATATCACGTTTTTCACCGAGTTCTACGCCACTTCACGTAAAACAGGTTGTGAATCCACTAATATCAATCTGGAAAAATATACCGTACATTTTTCACCGAAAAGTTTTGATTTTCGTAATTTTTTACCGTTTTTTGTTAACATTCTAGCCGTGATTTTGAAATCATACCACCAACAGCACAAATGCTGTTCATTTGAAAGCATAAAAATCTAACTTCACCAAAAGCGGTCGCAATTATGGAGTGGTGAAAAAATCAACTTAACCTTAAACTGCTGTGCCCAATGTGTTGATGAAAATATGAAAATTCCGAGAAAATTTTCGAAAATTTTTGGTTGGTTTCTGTACATTTCCACCCGAATTCCTAAACAAACTCTCGAGCTCAGAATATATCAAATAGCATTAGAAAATAACGTTCCCTAGTGTTCGATAACAATGGGGAAAATGTTGCTAATGTGATGATGACATTTACATGGGAAACTGATTGAAGAATGTGTTCCTAGCCATGTGTGGAAAATTCAAAATGAGTTCCCCCCTCGGGAACATTATAGGTTCCCGGATGCTACTAAACTCAACGTAGGAAACTCCTATAATCAACAATTGTATCGTACAGAGGTAAAACATCCTGGAAAACGTACAAAACCAGGATTAGACAATATTACGCTACAGAGCTCTCATTATTAATACCACAAATCTAGTAAATCGTAACTCAGCCATGCAGGAAAGCATACACAGGGAAGGACAGGAACAGCATACCGACGACCCAACTCATCACATACCCCCACAACTGCACTGTGGGGTTGTATTTATACGGAATATCATCGCTACTGCGTATGATACGTTGAAGTCCGTCTCGCATGTGCATCAAACACGCTATAGATCCAACAGAATAAAACAACACCCAGAATGGACTTGCAAATAAATCAAATATTGCCTTATGCAAATCGCCGACTCGAACAACATCACAGCTCGTATCTTCTCGGGAACAGAAAAACGGAGGGAGCCAACTCGCACGGAAACTAAAGGAACTCAATAGAGATGCTGGTGCCAGTCGAAATTGCAGTAAATGAACCAACAAGAATATCAATAGTATCGCGCCAGTTATGGCCATTTCCCAATCCTTCATCGAAATACGTTCTTTTCTGAACTTAACTATGCGAGTGATTGCAACAACAACATGCATAATACCAGCTACCAGTAGGTAAATTTCAATAGGGCGAGCCAAGCTACCTATAAAGGGTATGTGATGATTGAGAAAATATGCATAGCCGTTGAAGTGCTCCGGACCAAAAAACAGATGGATGTTGCCTAAGGCATGTATAGTGACGAACGTCATCAGAAACATCGCTGATCGGGTGAGGCCGGATCGATCCGAAACCACTTTGTAATTTTCCACCGTGAATATCGAGCGCAGTACTTCCTTGACGAACATCACCACTAGATAGCAAAATCCAATACCGTATCGTTTCCCAACACTTTCATCATCATCAACAGCAATATTTTTAGTGACAGTCTCTGTATCATACATCACCTGCCCAAGAACGAGCTCAGGGACATATTTCGCAACATATCCCTTCGGGTGAACCAAATTGTATTTCTCACTAGCATCGCGGCCAGCGAAATTCATAATACACTCTTTTCCACCAGGATGAACACACAGGAAACTACTAACGTCAATGACCTCGCCATTAACCACAATATAACAATCCTCGTCAGTGCAATGCTTGGCGACTTCCGACATCAATATTCCTTTCGGAGAACCCATATCACCGACCGCTGAGAAATCCACTATAGTAACTCTCGAGCCGTCCTCCAGCTGAATTTCCGTTTCCGAATTCACCAAAGACGATTCGTGAATCATACGCATACCTCCATAACTCAATATAGATTCATCCGCTCCTTCCAAGAGCCCTGGTAAAACCGCCGTCACGTTATGTATCGCGCCGCCCAGAACAAGCCAGTACTCTTCACAAGTCTCCTCCACTTCAACACTATTGCTACTATCCGATCCACTAACCTCATCACTGTGACAAGGACTCCACGTAGTGAGCGACTCCGAGCATTTCGGCACTGTCGAAGCCTCCTTTTCCTCATCCGTGACCATTCCCATAATTTTTCCTCGGGCAAGTATTTCTCTATTACGTCGGGTGAGTGGATCATGTTGAACATTTTCGACGCGTCTTTTCCCGCAAAGTTCATAATTGATTTTTCCCCACCAGGATGGACCCCAAGGAACTCAGTAACGTCCAGAACTCTGCCGTTAACAATTATCCAACAATTCTCCCGAGTGTTATGTTTCGCGACTTCCGACGGTGTAAAGCGACCACCCGAAACCACCGGCACTACAGAATCATCCACTTCCTTCTCCCGATGTGTTGTATCAAACTCTGGTAGAAGCATTCACAGACAGTAAAATGACATAGAATTTCAATTCGAATAACTACGAGGAGAATACAACGAGAACTTTGAGAAATCCTTATTAGTTTTCGCGTGAAGTCCTGAGCTCAGCTGAGGAAATCAAACATATATTCCTCCAACACTGCCAACCAGGAAATCATCAAAGAACCTATAATGTTCCCAGGAGGCCGAACTCATTTTGAATTTTCCACGGATGGCTAGGAACACATTCTTCAATCAGTTTCCCATGTAAATGTCATCATCACATTAGCAACATTTTCCCAATTGTTATGTTATCTCTCAAAGCTACATAGGTCCCTGCTATCCTCAAACATGTAAAATAACCCCTCCTAACACAACCACACTCTCAGCCGCTCGAAACAACCAAGACGACAGCTATTCACCCTTCGGAAGACCGACCGGCCGCCGCCGCGGCACTTCCTTTTCCCCCATCGCGCACGACTTTGCCATACACTCGAAAAATCGCTGACGTCCATCTCGATATCCAACCATCGACGAGCCAATCTCCCCCACTTCCCCTGTCCATACCTCATACCCAAATTGTGTCGAATCATCAACCGGCTCATCCATGTCGCCAGAAACCGCACTAGCATACGAACTCGCTGGTGATGTAGGTTCGACCTCGGACACTGAAACATCCGAATTCTCATCCGCATACCACTCGTCCGTCTCATCGTCATCGTCGTCACTATTAATTACTTCCTCCATAGGAGATCTCTGCCGTCCTCCAGCTCCTCCAACAGCAGTGGTGCTCCCCGGTTTCGCTTTCGCCACCAGAAAATCAAGTCGTACAAAGCACGGTGCTATACAACCGACCGCGGTATTCAGCCACAATAACCATTCCTCGACCAACTCTTCAATTCTATTCTCAATCATCCGACGAGTTTCATGATTGCCATTAAAATACCTATACGTAGCGTCACGACTACTGAACGTCCTGAACTGACGGAACCGACCAGAATGCATTTCCTCATTCACATATTCCGTATATCGTATGTGCTCTACTTTGCCGTTGAAGACGAAGACCCTGGGTTCGGTGACAATATCGTCGATACGATGCTGCACCATCAAAGTGGACTCCCGGTTCGGTAGTGATTCCCACAACGCTCGCGCTTTCTTCTCCAAATCGATAATGCCATAAAACGACTTAACTCCTTCAGCCATCCACGAGTACCCAATTTTCACCACTCCTTTTTCCGAATACACCGACAAAGCTCTCGTGTTACTCCACAACACATCAGACTGCATTTCAAGAGCTCTCACCGCGTTCCGACAAGTTCCTGTCGGGTCTTGCACAAAATCCGCGCGTTGAATAGTCGTGGTCGGCGGGATTCTCAAGGCCGTATTAGTCGCCAACGCGGCTTGCCAAGACTTGCTGCTCAAAACTCTATAAAGTGATACTGGATTCGGCCATCTCGTCGGTATTCCCACCGATTCCATTCTTTGCATCAGATCAAACAAGCTCGAGTACTCCACATATCCCGGCTTGTGATCGCCATGAACAGCCCCCCATAGGAAATACATCGCCGCGAGGTTCTTACACCCCGACCGCGTCAGAGTAGATCGCGCCCACGCTTCTGAGATTCTCGGCAAATCAGAAGTATGTCGGATGAATGCACACCAACATTCATAGTCAGTACCGTATCTACAGTGGGGGGGGAGGAATATGCACATGTGTTGGTGACAATATGGGAAATTTTGTACAGCTCTACAGTGAGTATACTCCTAAGCTCAGCTGAGGATCTCGAACGTCACGAACATATACTGAACATATATAAACATATGTTTATATATAAACATATGTTTTACATATAAACATATATCCTATGAACATATATTCCTCCAACACTAATATCTACACATGCACGGTGTACTCCGCAAAGTTCAGCAGTTCGCAGTCCGCGTGAAAACTCCCCCGTTAATATTACGTAGCGTAAATACCATCTCGCATGAGATCAGTTATAAGCTCATCAGTAACTGCCATATCGAACCTAGTATCAACCCTTCGATTGCCATCACCATAACGAACGATTAACAGGCTGAGACTAGGCGTTCGGCGCTCCTGAAAATCGATCGTACTCCATACAGTGTGAACAACAACCAAACCGTTATTATGCAAAATAATATTTTCAACACCTTCAATTTTCGAAAGTCAACTTTGAGTAATATCAACATGATAACAATGTGAATCGATTGACACCAACGTTTTAGAAGCGTTCCGTAGTCTATATTCGTATTACTCTCGAATTAAAAGAAAGCCATCTCGAAAATCTACATATGCATAACTGTTTGCTCCGCACTGTAGCCTACCGAGGTCGCTAATCTGATGTGCTCCATCCTCATTGACTGTCGAAGGTTATAAGCCTTGTTGCCATCCAGCATAGCCCCTCGACCATCCCCCCAAAGTGTGTGGGTGTACTCAACCACCGGCCAGGTTTCCCTCAATTCAGCCTGATACCTGACCATGCTATTCCCCAGGCTAGGAGCACTGCAGATGAATCGTACTGGCTCTTGTCAAAATCATCAACAATAGTAGCGTCCACCCAGCCGTCCGTCATGCCAAGACGTGGTGACACCTGTCCTTCGACACGACTGCCAACCTTCATCCACCCTATGTCGGGGTCGTAGTCGTTCTCTGGTATTTGCGATATGAACGCTTGCACCTAATAACAGACCAGTAGGACGGGAACTGTACTAGTAGTAAGGTCCTCACCAGTTGGCCACGACGATAAGTCACTAATCGATCAGGCTTATTGTGAGCAACAATACACGTCGGAGGGGCCTTCCGAGGTGGTGGTCGAGTAGGAGTAGCTCGGCTCGCTTCAACTGCCACTGTCCGACTTCTTGGCACTCGAGTGGGGGCGCGTGAAGACTCTGAGGAATCCATCAACCAGAAGAAGAAGAAGAAGTCCCAACCCTGCGAGAGGAATATCAATCCACCAACAGTGGTATTATATGACCTGACTCTGAAGACCTTTGGGGTACAACATACTATCCAAACACTCTTTTGTTAACTTCAAAGAGCATGTCCAGACTCCGTCACTAAATTCACATCACTATCACTTTTTCGCCTGCCATTTTCCAGACTTAGTCACTTTCCGAAGGTAATAATCGATGAATAATCAAGAGGCCCCTCGAAAGGCTATTCCTTCAGTCTCGACCATCAAGACGTTAATATAATTTAGCAAATCATCCAGGAACCTATAATGTTCCCGAGGCCGAACTCATTTTGAATTTTCCACGGATGGCTAGGAACACATTCTTCAATCAGTTTCCCATGTAGATGTCATCATCATATTAACAACATTTTCCCCATTGTTATCCAACCCCGGGGGACGTTATCTCTCGAAGTTGAATGGGTTCCTGATATCATTCTATCCAAAAATGTTCTTTTCGACGTCCTGAACATGTCGTGTAACAAGGGATCCTCCATAGACCTCTCCTCGGCGCTCCCAGGGTCGAGTTTCACATATGAAATCAAATCCACATCTACTAGACATTTGCTAGACTGTTCCCATATTGAGTCCTTTGAAACCGACATGCACGATGGGTCGAACAACGACACACGTTCATGTTTATACCTCCACTGTGTGAACTACAGAGAGCGCCGCGAATAGTATACTGTACATGATGAGCAAGGCCACGCCGGCTCCTCTGGTCCAGGCTCCATTCAAACGCCATGAAATCACGAACGTCGCCGAGAACGCTAATAAAGACCACTGAAGAGCCGCCAACGCTGCTTGTAAAAATAGAGGGTTCCCCACAAACACTGGAGGCTGAAACACCCAGACAAGACCAAGGCCAAGGCCAAGGTTCGCCACCTGCGCGCCTAGAGCATTACTCATCGCCATTGGTGCCTCGGACATACCAGTGAGGCGGAGAGCGTTTGATATGTCCGGAAGCTCAGCTGTGAGGGAGACTACGAACATCGCGACGAAGCCAGGGTGGCCGGTGACCCAGCTGTCTACCACTTTAGTGAGAACAAACGCGCTCACGCTCATCCACACGACCGAGACGAGGCAACCTAGACAGTGATGCGAGGAACGATGCTCCGGAGAGATTGACTCGAGGGAAGCATTCACGGGCCAGGCCACCAAGGAGGCTACCGTCATCACAGCTCCAGTGTCGTCCCCGGATAGGTCGGACAAGCCACTGGTGGTCACACGGGAGTCAACAGTGCACCCAGAACAAGTCGATCCGCCTGAATCATCGAAGTAGTGACGATGACTAGACATTGGGAGTAACGGGTCTTCCTCGTCACTGCAGGAAGCGTCTTGCGTGAGAGTCAAGACGTATACTATGTAGACAACGACCATCGTTGTTGCGGCCAGTCTCAGCCAAAGAGCATTTTGCAGCAATGTAGCCCCAGAGAGTATGACCAGTAGAAAGAAGTAATATCGTATCTCTCGAAACAACGGGTCCACTGGGAGCACGATGGGCTGAGCTGATCGCAGACTCATCAAGCCAGGGATGACCAAGCAGGCGATTACTCCAGAGCCTAGCATAACGCAGACGGCGAGAACGGTGCCACGCTGCGTGCCGGACATTGAAGCCGCTACACTGACAGTGATCTCCGGTCCAGCGGTGGCTATTGATAAGAAGGAGGCTCCAGCGACATCCTTAGGAATCTTCCATCGCTCGCATAGGCTCACCACACTGCAACAACAACGATCGTACACAACAACGACTAAGGTCATCCCGGTATACTACTTTCGGCAGAGATGCTTCGACGACACTGCTAGGCCACATGTCGCGGCCACTACTGCAAGGATCTCAGCAGGAAGACGATACTGGTAGGGGAGGACACTGCGGAACATAACAACCGCCTTTTTCAAGTGTGGTGGTGGACTTGTTGATCTCACTCTTGTAAATCTTGCTAATCTTGAATTTCCTCAATGCCGAAATGTTGATCCTGTCGGCTGGGGCGGCTATGCCACCACCACCCCAAGATATGCCTTGGTACAATAAATTTCGCTGTTAGTAAGATCAATTCTGTCGGCCGGGGCGGCTATGCCACCACAACCCCAAGATATGCTCACTATAATCGGCCGGGGCGGCTATGCCACCACTACCCCAAGATATGCCTTGGTACAACCAGCATTCATGAGCCCCATGGGGTGAGGTCAACCGAGCGCTATGGAAGGACCTGTGTTTTGACCATATCCCTCCAGTTTTTATACCAAGATGGATGTATCGGCACCGAGGTTTGCCGAGGAGAAAGTTCCTTCTCAAAACCCTGGATCGACCTACCACCGGTGCTCAACGCTGACACGAAGTTTTGTGGCAGCACAGGGGGATCCTCCTGTGCTGCCACATACTCGAATCTCTTAGGAGATTGCGAGTCTCTGCCTGAAACATGGTGGAGATAGGATCGAGCATGTCCCTAAAGGCAAGGGAGGCTTCTTGAACGTGACTTTTCGAGCGTGCCGTTAAAACTGTGATCCTCCGTCCTCCCTCAACGTTTGTGTGTGTATGCGGTGTATTTAAGACAGGAATTTCCCGTATATGCGTGCGAAGGGGTGAATATAGCAATCAAGTAAGCAACTCGACAAGACTTGTGCTGGCGAGAAGCAGTTTACGTACGAGGAGCAATCATGTCTGTATCACAAATCTGAAGAGGATATCCATGAGGTTCCTTTTCGACTCTGCTACGTTTACCAGCTTCGACAATCCTGCAGCGACCCTGTCTCTATCTCTCAGACTATCCATTACAAAGCTATATGTCCGATCTAAATACGAACTAGAGCTTTCTCACTCGAAGCAAATCACGCACCGCAAGTCTCAAGTACGAGACAACAGTCATCCGAGATGGGGTTCTGCAAGCGATCGAACTCGGCAGAGGTTCGGCAAGTTCTGATTGCCCGTATGTTGTGGATTGGCAATGGGCGACGAGCTGACGACAGGCGCTAAGACCGCGGATAGTTAACAACTAGGAGGAGAATCGCACTGAAGAATCGCGACTACTACTGGAAAAACTCGTTGATAGCAACTTTATCTACGACTAGCGGTAGCTCATACCTGTGCTTGCACTCACCTCGGCCTCCTATTATATATAGAATAGTATACGTTTGATTACATGATAAAAGCCGAGTCGCAACCATGGGGGCCTTCTTCCGATTCACCTTGCATACTCGTAGTCCTGCGCGGCGGAGCCAGTATCTCAACGTGAAAGATTACGAAGAGCGGCAACACCATAGTGGAGCATCATATACTACAGTTGAAATGAATATGAATGAAAAGAGGCGTGGAGGCTACACTTAGATCTGACTCACTTAGTCCACATGAGCACATCAATCGTGGTTGGACGAGACGCTGAAGGCATCCATGCGAAGACTGTCGGCTTGACGTTCGTATGGCGCATCCCTTCCAAGGCTACGAACACCGACCGATTCGAAACCCCGGAATGGAAGGAGAATAACTGATATTAGTTCCATTATAACTACATACGTCATGGCGAATTGATATGAGTAGTAGATGAATTTCGATAGGAATTGCGCGTCGTTCGTTACCTCTTACTCTTTATGACACCAGGCGGGAGTATGATACTTTCCAGATCGTCAGCGCGCTTAGTGATAACGTCCGATGATGTCGATATCGGGGGATACGCTACTCTGAACAAAGATATACGACTCCGATATTGCTACTATCAACCGATCACACATCTTGCCTATGGAATTCGGGGCTTTCCACAGGAAAATCTCCGTACTGGCAAGAAGCACAATGTCGAGAACTATCATCATGATATTTTGTTCATGGAAATTGTTCATATATAAACATTGAACTCATTAAGCTAATAATGTCTACGTTGATGGGAAAAATAATAAAGGGAAAGTACGAGTATATTCTTTATGTAGTGGATTGATCGTAGCTAGTGCTACCAGGATGTTACACACTGCTCTACCCCCTCGTATTGGACCTCGCAGCCAACAGACTTCCAAAAAAGCATATGGCAGGGTTTCATCAAAAGCCTCAACTCAGCAGGCGACACTCGAAGCGGTTCGAACTCAAGGTGTTTACCGTTGTAAATAGGCGTCGTGCTTCCCTTTCCATTCCCCTAGGGGATGTCCGAGGAGCTCCTCTCTACTAGACTCGTCTTCATCGAATATAAACACGGACTCCCTGAGTCCTATTGGTGACATCAACTCACTGTGAAGTTTCCTACTTCAGTTTGGCTAGTCTCTCACGTTGGCGAGATAGTATGTCGGCAGTTGTCCTGAAGCCGGCGGGAGACCGAAAGATCTATGAATGCAAGGCAATATTGAAAATGAGATGAGACATTATACGACGAGATTACTATGTCATTCACAGATGATGTTGGTACATAGTCGTAGACTGCGGCTACGATAGAGTCGTAAAGGTCTTCCTAAACAGGGAGCTAGTACAGTCTCTCAAAGGAAACGATATTCATTTTCTCGCTGCTTAGTGTAGTGATCAATCGGCGAGACTTCGCCGCTCACTCAATCAGGTATGCACAATTCTTCTTTGTTTAGGAAGGACAAGTCAACCTTCGCGAACCTCTGTTCTCGTTAACGTCTGACGATACGTG